CCAGTGAGAACTGGGCAGCTCCTGCCCGAATGTGACAACAGTACACCATTTTAGGTTTAATCTGGCTCTTGTAAAGGATAGCATGTGGAGTCAGGTACTTCCTGGAGCGTCACAAGGAGCCGGCCACTTTTTCTGCATATTTTTGCGGTCGATCGTATGTACGAGTTTCACTTGAAGTCATGTCGTGATTTTTCCAAGCGTAGCTCAGATGTGGCACAAGGCCGAAAGTATGGGACACCTAGTGAGGATCGAACTCACTTTTCAGTTGTAACTGATCTAGCGAGACAAGCTTGCTAACCATTACACCACGGCGAGGTGCCCCCACTTGAAGTCATGTATGAAGGCTCAATAGTCACTCAAAGCCTGTCTAATTGAATAACGGCTTTCAAATTCATGATTTTAACCCGGCTCCTTAAACACTGTCTAGCGTTAATATAAAACAAATAGCTATTTCCCACTATTTACATCTTTCGGACTGATATGCTCTTCTTCTGTCATTTTTTTTAAGCGTTTCACCCCAAGCAAGGCGGGAAGCCACTAGCACGCAAAGTGTGACAGAGGATTTGGAGAAAGTGCAAATAGGAGTGATAGAGGAAAGGATGAAGAGAAGGTTAGGGGATAGATCAGGGCATCTGTAGACGTCGATTGACATTACATTTGAATAGTTGAAGATTATAGCTATCAGGGAAACAGGAAAAGGGTAGGGGGTTCCACAGGCGAGAGGTGCGAGATATGAAGCTATTGGAGTAGAAGAGACTGTTACATTTAACAGTTTCGTCAGTGAAAGAGTGTGAACGAGATGCCAGCCTAGTAGAACGCTTAAATTCATGAAGTCTAGGAACCAGCGAAAGCAACTCATCTGAGCAGTAACAATGAAAATATTTGTAAAAAAGACAGAGGGAGGCGACGGCACGTCTGTGAGAGAGCGACTTCAGACGAGATGCCAGATCAAGGACAATTACATTGCATATCCGTCTCTGGATCTTATCAAGAACTTTGAGACAAACAGAAGGAGCACCGGACCATATATGTCAGCAATACTCCATGCAAGGGCGTATTCACGACGTTTCGGTCGTTGTACGCTCAGGCCTTCTTCAGGTGATATACGTTAGGTCTTTCGAACCGAACCTTTTATTTAGTCCACGGGTGTAGATTGTTATTATTCAGTATGTGCCATGTAATCTACCTGCATGGATTAAGTAAAGGGTTCTACTCGAAATTCCAACGTATATGACCTGAAGAAGGCCGGAGCTTACAATGGCCGAAACGTCGTGAATATGGACATTAAGATGAGAAAAAAATTCCGAACGATGTAAGTAGTGTAAATCGTTACAATACCTCAGAAAAATAGGCAACTGTTTTCAAAATCACGCAAGCAGACAGGCCAGTCTCAAATATATATATATATATATATATATATATATATATATATATATAAATCACATACACTGGTATAATTACAAATGTTCACACGCTTATTTTCCATTCCCACGATTTCGCTTTCATTTAAATTTATACACACCGCGAGATTATAGAGTTGAGTTGATTCTAAAGAGAGACAAACCGGCCGGTCGTCTTTGTCGGTTGGACAGCCAGCCCACCCTTACTCACCGGTCAGCCGGTCATCTTTCTAGTTTTACATGGTACTTTAGTTACGGCCGGGGGCGGGATATCCATGGCACGAGTGATAGGACAAACGTAAGGCCAGCGCCTGGAGAGGAAACGACGAATGAGTCATTTTTTATTTCTTTGAGAAATGCAGGTTCGAGAAAAGCCATGTATTTAGAGATGGAAAACATCGCCAGAGAAAAACAGGAATATGATTTTTTTTCCGCATTTCACAATGAAGTCTCACAAGAGATTGTAGGTTAGATAAGATATTTACGTTTGTTTAATTTCTCTCTCTCACTCTCTCTCTCTCTGATTCAGCTTTCCTCTCGCTCCATTTTTTTCTCACTACTTATATCAATATATCTCAAAAAGTGCATGTCGCTCAAATTGTTCATATCTATCTATCTATCTATCTATCTATCTATCTATCTGTTAGTACTTTCATATCTTCCTTCCTCTATTCATATCTATCTATCTATCTATCTATCTATCTATCTATCTATCTATCTATTAGTGCTTTCATATCTACCTCCGTCTGTTCATATCTATCTATCTATCTATCTATCTATCTATCTGTTAGTACTTTCATATCTTCCTTTCTCTATTCATATCTATCTATCTATCTATCTATCTATCTATTAGTGCTTTCATATGTACCTGCGTCTGTTCATATCTATCTATCTATCTATCTATCTATCTATCTATCTATCTATCTATTAGTACTTTCATATCTTCCTTCCTCTATTCATATCTATCTATCTATCTATCTATCTATTAGTGCTTTCATATCTACCTTCGTCTGTTCATATCTATCTATCTATCTATCTATCTATCTATCTATCTATCTATCTATTTATTAGTGCTTTCATATCTACCTTCGTCTGTTCATATCTATCTATCTATCTATCTATCTATCTATCTATCTATCTGTGAGTACTTTCATATCTTCCTTCCTCTATTCATACTAATCTATCTATCTATCTATCTATCTATCTATCTATCTATCTATTACTGCTTTCGTATCTACCTTCGTCTGTTCATATCTATCTATCTATCTATCTATCTATCTATCTATCTATCTATTAGTGCTTTCATATCTACCTTCGTCTGTTCATATCTATCTATCTATCTATCTATCTATCTATCTATCTGTTAGTACTTTTATATCTTCCTTCTTCTATTCATATCTATCTATCTATCTATCTATTAGTGCTTTGATATGTACCTTCGTCTGTTCATATCTATCTATCTATCTATCTATCTATCTATCTATCTATCTATTATTACTTTCATATCTTCCTTCCTCTATTCATATCTATCTATCTATCTATCTATCTATCTATCTATCTATCTATCTATCTATCATCTCACTTGTGCCGAAGTGAACGCAACTGATTTGGTTGAAATATGAACTCAGCTAGCCGTTTCCACCTTCCGCTGAGATTTCTTCACCGTGACGCAAATCGAAGCAATACGGCGGCGTAAACATCTAAGATAAGCAACAATTGTCCGAAATGACCATCCATCCTCTCGAAGACAACACAATCTGCTTTAATTGAACAAAAGGAGCACGCGAGCATCTCTGTGGCGTGTGACACTTGCTTTCAATGGATTCTATCAATAAACGATGTATGCATCACTATCTAAATCTCAAACATGATGGGCTGGAGTAAGAGTTACTACCTCGAAAGATGGACGAAGATTTGAAAGTTCTTCTTTTTTTTTTCAGAGGCCGAACAGAAAGCATAATGTTCGATGGCAAAAAAAAGCAGTATCTATCTATCTATCTATCTATCTATCTATCTATCTATCGTTCTCAGTTTTTTCCCTATCTATCTATCTATCTATCTATCTATCTATCTATCTATCTATCTATCTATCTCAGTTTTTCCCCTTTCTATCTATCTATCTATCTATCTATCTATCTATCTATCTATCTATCTATCTCAGTTTTTTTCCCTTTCTATCTATCTATCTATCTATCTATCTATCTATGTTGTATCGATCTATATATCAATCTGAACATTTTTATAAAACTATATTTGTACACACACACTCTCTCGGAACCCCCCATATATATATATATATATATATATATATATATATATATATATATATATATATAATGTGTATTTTTTATTTATAGATTTTATTGTTTGAATGAATGAATGAATGAATGTTCACATGTAGTGGAAAAGAGTTAATCTGTATCAAATGCAGAAAGAATTAAATAAGAGAAAGAAAATAGGATTTATGTTAATTTAGGATGAAGATCACAAAATGATAGGCGAAAAAGAACGAAAGAATAAAAGAGGTAGGAATAAAAACAGAAGGCATATAAATCTAAGATAAGAAAAATGAACTGCAAAAAGAAAGGAAGAAGATATGATACAAAAAAGAGGAAAAGAAAGATACGTAAAGAATAAAAAAAAAACTATAAAAAAGGTAGAAGAAGAAAAAGAACGGGGAGGTGAAAGAATGTAAAAAAAAGAAGAAAAAGTTAGAAAGAAACGGAGGAGGAATAAATCAGGAAATATAAAAAAATGAAACGAAGATTGACCTGAATAAGAAAGGAAAAAATACATCATAAAGAAAAAGAAAGAAGGAAAGAGAAATAAAGAAAGAGAAACGAAGAAAGAGAAAGAAGGAAAGAGAAATAAAGAAAGAGAAACGAAGAAAGAGAAAGAAGGAAAGAGAAATAAAGAAAGAGATATAATGAAAGAGAAAGAAGGAGGCATAAATAAGGAAAGAGGATAATAACTAAGAAGTGATTGTAGAACAAGAAAAAGATATGATGTTGGCCACGGAAAAAGTCCTCGCTGTACATTCAATGAAAAAGTCCTCGCTGTACATCCAATGAAAAAGTCCTCGCTGTACATTCAATGAAAAAGTCCTCGCTGTACATCCAATCAAATCTTCGAGCAGAAGGTACATAAAATTTCTGGAAATTTTGGGGTTAACACGAAATCATCTAGAAAAGGAGAAATTGAAGATAAAAAAAACCCCCAGAAATCTCACTGAACTTTGCGCTTTTCTTGTTACAATACACCTCGTCAAAAATAATCAGACAAACTTTCAGCTCAGTCATTTTATAATCCAATTTAATCATCCAAGTATATATTGAACTTGCTCATCCAATGCGATGGTTTGTAAGTAAACTTTTAGTTAATATAGTTTATCCAACTTAAAGAGTGAGGCCATTCTGAGAGATTTTGAAATCCTACCAAACTTTTGTAGCCAGAATTTTAACAACATATGATATGCAGATGACACAGCTTTGATATACACAGAAAGGAAATTACATGAACTCCGACAGAAGACAGTGAAGGAAAGCAAGAAGAAAGGACTAAACATCAATTACAAAAAGAAAAAAAGTCACCTCGACGTGGTGTAATGGTTAAGCAAGCTTGTCTCGCTAGAACCATTACTGAGTAGTGAGTTCAATCCTCACTGGGTACCATTTGCTTTCGGCCTTCTGCCACACCTAAGCTGTGCTTAGAAAATAAAAAGCGTGCAAATTACTCTTTGGACTAACGCGTTTACTTATCATCTCTCAGTTGCGTCTCTGTCTTTGGACAGAGTGCGCTCAGGGGCTTCTCTGTTTTTGGACAGAGGAGCAACTGAGGAAAATAATACTGAAGAGGTGCCCGAGACCGCACCTTCTCATTGCACTAGAAAGAAGGATCTGTGCACGCACCGAGGCCGGCGCGAGGAGGCGGTTGCGTGGGCTCGGGGAATTTTTGTTCCTTGCCCGGGTGTACGCGCTCGGGCACCCCACATTAAACGGACCTTGTGTCACAACCTGACCTCGTGGAGTGGGGGGGGGTGAGTAAATAGATATTACAAGAAGAAAGAATGCATGTTTGTAAAAGGAAGTGACCAACACGAAAAAGACAAATTGGAGATACCAAAATCAAGCAAATACAATAATTTAGTCACGGTGGAATAATGGATAGCGGCTCGGTTTGAGGAATCGGAGAGCCGAGTTCGAATTCCAGTTGAATCCATTAAATTCACTTACGTGCTAATACCCTTGTGAAAAGTATGGATCCTCTTCTTCTACTCCACCCCCAGTTATTGGTGAGTAGCAGGACAGATCGGGTTCTATAGCCTTGGATGGCAACTGGTCTACCGCAGAAAGAAATGCGGGAAAAAATCTGCATCGAAAGATACATGATTGCCTAAGTGTGTATCACATATGACACATAACTGACTGAGAATAATTTAAATATCTTGGAAGTGTTTTAACAGAGGACAAAACGGGCAATAGCGAAATCCGAAGGTGCATAGAGATACCGAAAGATGCCTTCCAAAAGCTAAGCAAAGTTTTTCAGAAACACGACAAGACTATTGAATATAATATCACTCCTCCTATACGGCAGTGAATGCTGCACAATCTCCTTACAGATGAACAGAAGGATGCTGAGAATACCATGCACTGAATATGTAAAACAAACGGACACATGACACAGTGGATAAAGGCGTTGGTTAGATCCAGTGAGAGGGCCCAAATAGTGTGAGTTCAATACCCGGCTAAGGCAGTGGAGAGGGGATTTAACAGGGGATAACTGATAACTGACATCCATTAAACATGTCACGTGGAACTAGAACAGTCTACTTCAGTGACCGAAATAAAAGGTCCAGTTCAACATTCCAACCACCTGAAGAAGGCCGGAGCTTACAACGGCCGAAACGTTGTAATAAATATGGTGACAAAGATGAGGACAATAGTCCGAATAATGTAAATAATGTACATAATACCTCACCTCAGAAATATAGACAGATACTGAAAGGCCGAAACGTTGTAATAAATATGGCGACAAAGATGAAGACAATAGCCCGAATAATGTACATAATACCTCATCTCAGAAATATAAACATATACTGAAAGGTTGAAACGTTGTAATGAATATGGCGACAAAGATGAGGACAATAGTCCGAATAGTTTAAATAGTGTACATAATACCTCATCTCAGATACATAGACAGATACTGAAAGGCCGAAACGTTGTAATAAATACGGCCACAAAGATGAGGACAATAGAAAGAATGATGTAAATAGTGTACATAATACCACATCTCAGAAATATAGACAGATACTGAAAGGCAGAAACGTTGTAATAAATACGGCAACAAAGATGAGGACAATAGAAAGAGTAATGTAAATAGTGTACATAATACCTCATCTCAGAAATATAGACAGATACTGAAAGGGAGAAACGTTGTAATATTTTATGGCGACAAAGATGAGGACAATAGTCCGAATAATGTAAATAGTGTACATAATACCTCATCTCAGAAATATAGACAGATACGGAAAGGCCGAAACGTTGTAATAAATACTGACCTGACGCTCTGTGCGTCTGTTTCCTGCTTTTCATTTTTTTTTTCTATCAGTGCAACTGTGTTTCTCTCTTAATTTGAATCCAGTGGGTTATTGCATCTTAGGCGTTGTCAAAACGGCCGAATTAGCGGCCGTGCAATATCAAAGACATGTTGAAGGTCGCCATATTTGTTCAAAGTCGATAAGTGATGTTTTCTGTTCTTTGTTAGTTTTCTTTTCTGCTTCTGTAGTGCCAGTCGACGAGGTTCGAAGACGATCGGGCCTTCGTTAAGACGTACTGCCTTCATTCGCTCGACGACACTTTTAATTATTGATCCGGGAAAGTGGTTGTCGACACCTGACAGTTCACATATTTCTGAACGGATTTGGCGTCATTGCATGCATCCATATGGATGTCTTGATCGGACGAGTACATTTAAGAACATGACTCGAGTTTTTATGTTAATGTTTTGTAACGACTTGCATAGCACAAAACCCGATCAGAAACATCTAAGCGGTCGGCTGTATACAAGTCCACAAAGATCACTGCTTAAAAATGGCTTTTACCGAGTGAATCTTGTGGATCTTGGCGAAGACCATAATTTTTCGAGCATTGTAGACGCGCTGCAGAATCACAAAGAGCTCTGTCAGATAATAGAAATCACATCGCTTGAAGACTTTTAACAGCAGCTACTGCTAAAAAAGTTATCACGTGTAGTATAATGGTATTATGGTATGATCAACATTTTTTATGTTCCACACTATTTCCAATAAAAAGTTAAGATGGAAATCATCAATATTGGAAAGGGTGATAAAAACTACTGCACTTGTGAAACCTATTTTTCTAAAAATTAATTATTAAAATAATCTTTCTCTTAAAGAAAGATTATATTAATAATATAATTAGTTATAATCAAATTAATATAATCTTTCTCTTAAAGAAAGATTATATTAATTTCCACCGACAGCAGTACAAGATTGAATGCTGAATGTTTCCTTACACAGAAAAGACTAATATTAATATTACAATTTACTACTATTAACCTGTTCACCATTTACTACT